CCCACGCCGGCGCTCAGCTTGCGATGCGTCCTCGCCAGGGCGACCTCGCTGCCGGTGGCCCGTCGAAAGGGCAGCTGGTGGAAGCCCGTGGCCGCCGGCGGAGGCGTGGCCGTGGGCGAGCCCGCGCGGCGTCGTGACCGTTCCGAGTCTGAGTCTGCGGCGTCATCGGGCCGCCGCCGAGACAAAATCCGCGAAATCTTCTTCATGGCGTTTCTTGTCGTCTGCAGTAGCCCATGGCGTTTACACTTCTCCCCGGCTCTGCTGATTTACATGGGACGATGCTTCATGCGTAAAAAAAAAATAATAATAATAAATTAGACCCAAAAGAATATTGAAAAGAAGAAATGTACAGAGAAAGGGACAAAAGGAAAAAAAGAACAGGTCGTTCAAGCGGTTTGGTTTACAGTTTGGGAACTATGGAGTACTGTGGCGATCAATAAATTTGTCAACCCACGCCGTCTCCACGCTTCCCTCCCCCCCGGCGGAAGATGGATGGCACTAGCTACTACTACTACTGGCAGAAAGCTCGAGTTTATTGGGCGTGTAAAATTCATTCTCCGATGAAATGGGTCCCCGAGGCGTTGGCGTTGACGAGCTGAACTTGTCCAACCGACACAGGGTCCCTTCAGGGTCGTAGGGTCCTTTTGGAAGAACGGATGAAAAGGCAGCCGTTGGTCGTTGGCAGAAGGCGTTGCAGGATACCAATCGGCCCCTGTTGGAAGTTCTCCAGCGACTAGGGAGGCCCCTTGCCAATATGCCAATTAAACAGCGAATGGGCTCTCGGGACTTTGCACCCGTCGCTGCCGCAGGACCTCCAGTCGACAATGTCGCCGTCGCAGACGTCAAGCCGCGGGTGTGAACAGGGCCTGGCGATTGGGGTTTTACGCAGACCAGGGGGCCGCAAAAGAAGTAAGACACAGGGGGAGATTGGCAATTTTTTTTTTCTTGACAGGTCAGTGGTTATTACGGAAGTGACATGGTGATTTCGTTGACAGATGCACGGCCGAGTGGGTTAAAAAAAATCCCGACAGGTTCGAGAAATGCGTAATTTCAAGCCAGATCCGCTATTGAAGCTGGGTATAAAGCAGGTTTACACATAGGACAGGGTATTGTCATCATTGATCTTCCCAGCAACTCCGAGACGGGCTTCGCCACCAGAGACACACGGCCCACGCGCCACAATCTGCAAATCCAATGTTAGCCATCGTTAATAATCCACTAATGGGCGGAGGGAGCGGGTGAGCTGGTTATATATGTACCTCGCCTTCGATGATATCGTCCGTAGTGTTGTGCTTTTCCGTGTCTTTGAGGTAAATCTCAACTGACGACGGCGGGACGCCAAAATGGGCCTCGATGCCAGGCGTGAGCCGGTAGTCAAACAAGGCGGTTTGTGCAACCGCACCAGCGACTCTCGCCGCAGTCAAGGCATACACTATCCGTGCGCCCGTATACACTCTCAAATCAGACAGTATCTGGGTTGAAAGCAGCGGCGTGTCGCCGCCAACACGCTCCGCCACATACACAAGACGCAACTTTCCAGGTGCCGTGCCAATGCGAGGGCGAGTCCCGGCCGCAAAGGCAGAGAGAAAGTTTGTACCTCCGTGGACGCCGCGCTGTGTGAGGGTGCTGGTAGCCAGGGAGTGTGAGAGCTTGGCTAGTCCACCACCGAGGCGGCGGGTGGATTCTTCATGCGTGCGAAGCAAGGTTGCTGGGCTGGCGACAATGACGGTAGGCGCTACACCCTGCGTGGCCAGAACGAGATCTGGCGATCGGCCAGCCACCGAGTTGAATGCCACCGAAGAGTTGGAGTACAAGGCCGCAAGAGTGAGCGTCAGTGTGTGCATGTTGGACAGCGACTCCGCGGGGAGGAAGAGGTCAGCCTGAGTGAGGCGTTCTCTCGTGGGAATGGCTGCGATTTGACCAGATATGCCCGAAGCCAGGTTCGCCTGCGTAAATCGCACCATTTCTTCTAATTCGCCCTGCTTAGCTTGCCAGAAGGCAACAATGTCACCCGGAGCGCCGGTACTGTCCTCAGAAGCGGGCAACTCGGTTCCAGCCGCTGCAGGAGTATCGTTCAAGAGGTCCTGCCAGGTAGTCACGTTGACGGCCGAGCCCATGCCCTCGGGGACATCGTTCCAGTCCATGTGGCGACTGCCTTCGTCAACGACCCAGATGAGCTGCCGGAGAGACGGGTAGGCATTGACAACAGCGTCGAGAGGGAATGATCCCGTGGCGGTGACAACAGTGTCGACAGCGGAGCGACGGAGCATAGAGATGAGTTCCGACTCGCTGACATCGAAGGGGATAAGGACTGCGGTGAGGTTCGGGTAAAACGAGCAGGCAAGAAGGGTGATGAGATGTTCTATGGAGTTGGGGAGATAGATGGCCACTTTGATGGAGCCCTGTTCAGCAATGTACCGACCGATAATATTAATCTGGCGATTGATGTCGTCTACAAACGGCGTTAGCATAAACGTGTACTTGGCAAAAGTTGACTGTGGCCAGCACTATGGGCGAATATAGATAGACGAAAGGTAGAAACAAGCAACGCACCCATCTTGTGTTCGATTACATTCTCTGATCCCAACACAGTTAACAGTCGTCCTCTGGCACCGGCATCACCGCTGACTGCCTTTCTCCAGACATCGCGCAAATCGCCATCCCGTCCGCGCGAAAACTTGGGCGCACCAGGATCCTTGACATTCAACCCAGCATTAAGTGCCATGCCATGGGGCGCAGACTGCGAGCGGTACACAGCACTCTCGCCTTCCTTGCGGACCGACGACGGCATGGACTGTCTGGCGAGCAGCAGAGGGTGGGCATCTGGCTCCGTTGCGGACATTATACGATAGGTGATGAGCACGACGAGCGTGGTCGCCAACGCGGTCGAGTAGCCGTTCCATTGGCCGAACAGATCCGTGATGGACGAGTCGAGCGATTCGAGGAGACCCATGATGAGGGCGATACGGAGGGACGGTTTGTTGGTGAGGACGATTGGGCTGTTAGCTGCTTGCCCAGGCGACAGGTGCGTCTGGTGTGCAATCCGCGACAGGAGTTGATGATGGGAGGCGGTCTCCAGGGCCGGATGGATGGTGGTTTGGGTTGTGTTTTAACTTTTGGGCTTCCGAGGCCAACGGAGACGGAACATTGAAGTGGGGGAACCAAGCGCTGATCTGTGCCGTCGACAGCGACGAGCTGCAGGCCTCGAGCCGTCAGCCGTGAGCCGTGAGCTGCAAGCTGCAAGCTGCATGCTCGACGCGGGAAATGACGCGAGACTCGAGTGGGCGTCCTCCTTCAAAGAGCTTCGGCTCGGACGTATGGAGTGCAGGACTGCGCTTTGAATGTCCAGATTGAGATTGGGCTGCCTGCGCCTGGTGCCACGAGATAAGCTATTTGATCCCCATGGAGCTCCAACAATGTATTCGGATTATGACCGATGCATAAGCAGTATCACTTTAAGCCTACATATGTACCACAAAAGAAAGGTCGAGTCGACAATTCAATCACCGTCTTCAATGTTCTGCTGGGGCTTCCAGGGCCTTGCAGAGGGAGATACTTCGCTGGAGCCCTCAATTGCTTCTCCAAGGATCATCCCGCTGGGATCCGGTCTGGCATGCAGGTTAGGCTTGCATTTTACTAGTACGTACCGCGGAAAGGCAACGTACTCGGCGCATACATTCGCGGTGAGGGGTAGTTGACAAAAGGAAGCAAAATGCAAACATTGAAGCACTACGTCGACATCTGTCTAGTTGTAATCTAGACTACTAACTACACATACTAGGCGGTTACTATTCCAAAGCCACCAACTTCCTCTGCCTGAGAGCTACTAATACGGAAGTAGTATTATAGCCCAGCTTGGGAAAGGTTTAGTCAAAAGTTTACCCGCTCCCTATACGTTTTGCAGTCTGGTTTGGTAGATAGGGTTCGGATAGCATGTTTTAGTGCTGGTGGTCTCTGGTGTCGTGCAAGAAGAGATTAATTGATGGCTCTTTCTCTTTCGAAATCTCCCGAGCTCAAATTTCTCGGCAGCACTGTGCTGGGCCCCAGTCGGATCCAGAAGGACAGCATGTGATGGAAGGACCGCTTAAAGGTCAAATATAATGATAAAAAGAAGGAAGCAAACTCAATTCCATACATACCTCTAGTAACAAGACTTCTATTTGTATTCTAACCAGTTCGACTCTTGGCACGTTGATTCCCGCTACATAATAGCTGTATCCATTAAAACCACCAGACTCAACAGCGGGCGACCAGATTCTGCTTGGGGCAGCCGCCCCACAGGCCCGGTACACTTTGCACCAGACATGCTGACTTCACAGCAGCCACACTAAAGAGTAAATACACCATCAGAATTAATAGACCCTTTATAAAATTAACTAGAGACTCGATTCTTAAGTATTTTTTACTTAAATTATGCAATATATTTTAGAATCAAGTATATTATTTGTATTAAATATAGTGTTATAAGTAACAGTATTCTTGCAGGAACTACCTAGAGATCAGATGTACTGCGGGGTGGACCACTAAACACGTATCGCCCATTTTTTCACCACGTATCGCCCCTTAGTCCTAATTTGGAAGGACGCTCCACTCATACAAATTTGGTGTGGCTTGCGTCTGTTCAATTTCATAGCCTTATTATGTGCCGCTGTGCTGGTTCTGTTGCCTTCCGCTTTGAATAGCTGCCACCAGATTTGACCGCTATAAATCCCTTGCTGGCTTATTGGGCGGCAATAGCGTCGATAGCTTCTTCTGCGGCCGCATAAAATGGCTGTAAATTAAAGGATGACATGACAGGCAGGGCAAATTGAAGGTATTGATAAGAAGGGTTGCGTTATGTGTTAAAAAGGTTAAAATTGTGCTACTATCGTGAAATTCTTTGCAGTGGTGTTGTGTCAATGGCACTAGGCAGCAGCCTAGTAGCCTTGTGTGGCTGTATAAAATTTCCTTGGTATCTTTATAGCAAAAAATATGTGTAAAAATACTTTGCCGGATTAGGACTAAGGGGCGATACGTGGTGAAAAAATGGGCGATACGTGTTTAGTGGTCCCTGCGGGGTGTGATAACACTAATAAATTAAATGGGGCAAAATGGCACTTGGAGCGAAAAGTGGTCGCCCGCGACTAAGAAACTCACTGTAACCCCACTCAAGGACGCATCTTGACGCGTTTAAAAAAGTTTTTTGCCCATTGCATCGCATCACCAA